TTTCCGAAGTGAAAATTGAAACGTCAATTGAACCTTTAGTTGTGGCTTATTCCCATTTAAAAAGTAATTACCATCACACCTTGGCATTCGGTAGCATATTTCACACCAGCCGACCCGGAACCGCGATGGCGCCGAGCGTAATGGCTCCTCTACACATCGGCAGACGCGTCCGCGTACGACATCAACGTATGCATCTGGAGTTGTGTAGATAGGGTAATTTGATCATATGTTGTTTATATATCACGTCCGCGGATGCGTCTGAAGATATTCGATTGTTGTCGGTTTTTTTAGCACAGATCAAAGGGTTTCGGAGCGGACGTCCGACGCATTTCCACACATCTGATCTCTGACTGCTTCTTTTCCTTTTTTTTTAATGATTCTATTTTGATGTGCACTCAAGTAGTAGTTGAACGTTCTAAATAGGCATATTTAGCTGCGGCAGCTATGGTTTCAAAATCAACATCCATTTTTTTAATGCTCGCGTAGATATTGCGTCTCCCGGGAATTAACACAGACTGAACGATATACAGATGTGTCCAGATGTGTGGTCAGCTTGTGATGATACATCTGCAGATGCGTCCGCAGACGCGTCTGCCGATGTGTAGTGGAGGCATAAGTAGTGTCGCTACACATTTCATCTTCACTTACTGTGATAATATTAACTTTAACTTAAAAATATCCGTCAGAAAAATAATAGTATATGACAACTACACGGAATAATGACAGTAAAATTATCTCGGTAGTGATCCCATAGTAAATCCTAAGTAAAAAACCAAAAAAAAACTCATGATACTACGTTGATATAAGTATTTGGTATTACATTAAGTTTATTCTCAATATTAACATCAAACTCTAATTTTGTATGTATGTGATTTAAAACCTAAATGAGATGTAGTTGTGGTATTGACTTGCTGGTATTTTCTTTTTATCGATTTCTTCTTTTAATATTAGTGACCAAATCGTATTACATTCTACCGAAGAATTTGCAAATCAGTTGGTTTCATTTAATATAATAAAAGCAGCCTCTTTGGATTTTCTCGTTTTATAATCTATTTATTTTAGGAATCGTTCCACTAAATTATATGTTCAATTTCCCGTAAGTGTTTACATATCTGAGATCTAACAAATTCTCTATTTGTGATATCTATTATGTTTATTGTTCACTTGCTAATAAAAAATGGACGTCTCACTCACAATATTATTTTATAAATACAATCCTTAGTTCTTTATTATTCGTTACTAGGTTTTGTTTTAGATAAAATATATCTCAATGTGTTTGTTTTTTGAATGTTGTTGACATTGTGAATTTATTTTTCATGCTTTTAAATTTTCTGATAGTCCTTTTATGTATTGTATTGTTATTTTCCTCGTTTCTTGTGTTATGAATGTTACCTTGATTTTTGTTCGATTGTCTCTAGTCTGCATAATTCCTTATTTATAAACGAATATATATCTTTTTACCAAAATAGTTGTTACCAAATGTTTCTCCTCCCAGAACGAAATATTTTCTTTTCTTTCATGATTGATGATTCCCTCTTTGATATTTACCTTTGGGTTTGATTTGTAATTTGGTTATTAGTTCGGTGTGTGCTGGTTAAATATATGTGTGGAAGGAAAGAGATGGATTGGTCGAAAGAAACTTTCATGGCTGCGTAATATTAGACAATGGTATGGTTTCACAGTAGAAAAATTATTTCGCGCAGCAGCCGACAGAGAAAGGTTTCAGGAAATTGTAAACATGATGACGGCCAACGTCTGAATACGGACACGGCACCCAAAGAAGAAGAAGAAGAAGAAGGTTAAATATATATATATATATATATATATATATATATATATATATATATATATATATATACATATATATATAATGGTAAAAGATATCGGCATAGCTCGCAAGTAAGGAAAAAAAATAAAATATGTGTATCAGATGGAAGACAACCGTATATACGTATTTCTAACTATTGGTCGTTTTCGTATGGTGCAGCCAAGTTAGAAAAAGAACATATTAACTTGAGAAAGGATCACTACACCAGCAATGCGACTAATTTGTGACAATAATGCTAGAAGACTCTGAGTTTTCCAGAGCAACAACCAACACATCCACAGAGGAAGCTAAGCTACCTGAGGAAAGGAATGCCAAACGTTTAGAAAGTTTCAAACAACAAGAAAAATGTTAAAGCGAGTTGATAGTAAAATAAAGGTAAAAGATATCGGCATAGATCGCAACAAAGGAAAAAAAAATATAATAAAATATGTGTAAAAGACCAATAGTCAGAAATACGTATATACGGTATAGGGATACATTTTTAGGAGAAAACAAATTGTAATAATTGTAATATGTTTTTCACACTGCATATTTTCTTTTCAAAACTCTGTGGAATTCGAAGATACTATCTTTAAGTGTATAATTAAGTACAATTATTATATTTGCATTTTATCTTTTTCTGATAACTAAGAATTTTCTTATAAATACAGATCACTCTAGCTATACCTTTATACAATTTGTATGTGCTAAAAACACAATGTTAAAAATATTAATTGTGACGTTAGTCCTTTGGGCTGGTGTCAGTTGCGATAATGGTAAGAAATCATTTTATATTATTTAAACAAAATTAACAATATTTACTTCATATACAAAGTTACAAAACTTTGAAATTTTAATCTTAATTAATTTTCTTATTTTATTAAGGTAGTTTATTATTGATCATAAAATCTAATATATTTTCAGATGTCAACAATGACCCAAGTGACGTAATTTTATCTAGTTTTGAAGATGACAAAATATTGCTTCCCTCCTTAGTATCTTCTGAACATCTTAATAAGATAAAATTGTCTAATGATGCCGAAGAAGGTGATTCAATAGACTCTAGGCCAACAAGACCACCACCACCCAGTAGCAAACGCCCTGGACCACCCGGACCTCCACCAAGCAGACGTCCTAGACCACCAGGCCCTCCACCAAGCAAACGTCCTGGACCACCCGGACCTCCACCAAGCAGACGCCCCAGACCACCAGGCCCTCCACCAAGCAAGCGTCCTGGACCTCCCGGACCTCCACCAAGCAGGCGTCCTAGACCACCAGGCCCTCCACCAAGCAAGCGTCCTGGACCACCCGGACCTCCACCAAGCAGACGTCCTAGACCACCAGGTCCACCACCAAGCAAACGTCCCGGACCACCCGGACCTTCACCAAGCAGACGTCCTAGACCACCAGGCCCTCCACCAAGCAGACGCCCCAGACCACCAGGCCCTCCACCAAGCAAACGACCTGGACCACCCGGACCTCCACCAAGCAGACGCCCCAGACCACCAGGCCCTCCACCAAGCAAACGTCCTGGACCACCCGGACCTCCACCAAGCAGACGTCCTAGACCACCAGGCCCACCACCAAGCAAACGTCCTGGACCACCCGGACCTCCACCAAGCAGACGCCCCAGACCACCAGGCCCTCCACCAAGCAAACGTCCTGGACCACCCGGACCTCCACCAAGCAGACGTCCTAGACCACCAGGCCCACCACCAAGCAAACGTCCTGGACCACCTGGCCCTCCACCAAGCAGACGTCCTAGACCACCAGGACCTCCACCAAGCAGACGTCCTGGACCTCCTGGACCTCCACCAAGCAGACGTCCTAGACCACCAGGCCCACCACCGAGCAAACGACCTGGACCACCCGGACCTCCACCAAGTAGACGCCCTAGACCACCAGGCCCTCCACCAAGCAAACGTCCTGGACCACCTGGCCCTCCACCAAGCAGACGTCCTAGACCACCAGGCCCTCCACCAAGTAAACGTCCTGGACCACCCGGACCTCCACCAAGCAGACGTCCTAGACCACCAGGCCCTCGACCTAGCAAACGCTCAGTATCACCAGATGTGTCCTTTTCTTAGTTTCTAAATGCAAAACAATAAAAACTTAACTTATTAATACAAACTTGAATTTTTTCGTTATACCTTCCGTAATAACAGCCGAATTATCTATATATACATATATATATATATATATATATATATATATATATATATATTATATATATAAAAGGAAAAAGGAGTACGACCGTCAATCCAATATATATATATATATATATATATATATATATATATATATATATATATATATATATATATATAATCATCACTCGGACGAGTGGTGGGTTCTTATATCGGTCTCTAGGTGGGGAAATAAAAGACAAAGTTGATATGCTACTTTATCTATTTTGAAGACGTTTCGCTTTCGAGTTTTGAAAGCATCATCAGTTCATCTAAAAAATTATTACAATATGAGAACCACACAATCATGGAAACGATGTTAATTGTTACCTTAAAAAGATATGTAGCAGTCAATGTTATTAACAAACATGTGAATGAAACTAAGTAAATGGACATAATACGCTGATCTTGTATAAACAGTTAAGCAACTAACAACATATATGAACTTGTTAAAAATTAGCACAGCAAATGACCATGTGGTCTAAAGTAAATTCAATGTTATTTAATGTTAATAAGTGAGTAAGAACCAAGAAAATCATAAATAACTTCCAACTATTTAATGGATATTAAGCTTTGATTTTAACTTTAGGTAGCATTATAAGTGATATTAATAAAATTTTAAAAAGTAGTAAATATGAAGTTACCGATCAAAGCCCTATGAATGTCGCCGAGTGAATTAAACCCCATTTTCTCGGCGACATTCATAGGGCTTTGATCGGTAACTTCATATTTACTACTTTTTAAAATTTTATTAATATCACTTATAATGCTACCTAAAGTTAAAATCAAAGCTTAATATCCATTAAATAGTTGGAAGTTATTTATGATTTTCTTGGTTCTTACTCACTTATTAACATTAAATAACATTGAATTTACTTTAGACCACATGGTCATTTGCTGTGCTAATTTTTTACAAGTTCATATTATGTTGTTAGTTGCTTAACTGTTTATACAAGATCAGCGTATTATGTCCATTTACTTAGTTTCATTCACATGTTTGTTAATATCATTGACTGCTACATATCTTTTTAAGGTAACAATTAACATCGTTTCCATGATTGTGTGGTTCTCATATTGTAATAATTTTTTAGATGAACTGATGATGCTTTCAAAACTCGAAAGCGAAACGTCTTCAAAATAGATAAAGTAGCCTATCAACTTTGTCTTTTATTTCTCCACCTAGAGACCGATATAAGAACCCACCACTCGTCTGAGTGATCCTTATATATATATATATATATATATATATTTATATTATATATATATATATATATATATATATATATATATATAATATATATATATATATATATATATATTTATATATATATATATATATATATATATATAGAGAAATGTTGGGAGCACTTAAACTTGTCTTTTAAAAAAGGTTTTATTTGAGAAATCACAAATTTACAAACTATGGAACTTTTGTTGTACAATGAAATTACAAATTAAAAAGAACGTTAGAAAATGTTTGTTGCACCTATTTATTGGTTCGGTTATGCTGCGTCTGCTTCCGGGTCATCGGTTTACTTGTGTTGCTGAGGATTATATTTCTCCTTCCTCCTCTGGAATTGACTTCGTCCTCGAAGTCTGGGAAACTTCTGCGATTAGCTGATCTAGAATTTGAGTTTGGGCTGGCTGCAGTTTGGGCCCAAAAAGTAATCTGGAAATTCTTTTTTTCTTTTTTATTAGAAAAATAAAAATAAATAGTAATAAGAAAACTATTAAAATTAAACTGGTGGTGCCAAGTCCCGTTGAAATTTTTGGAAGAGGGTCCAATGTTTCTATTGGCTGAAGCTGGCCATGGGTCTCTGGAATTTTGAGTTTTTCAATTTGAATTTTATGCTCTGGTATCAATTTTATGGGAACAACTTCTGGGATGGAGATTTCTTGTGTAGTCTTTTTATTATATTTGGTTCCTTCTATGATAATTGGTTCGTCCGTCATTAGAATACTACTGGCTATGACTTTTTCTTCTTGAATCTTGATTGGATTGACTAATCCTAATAATATTACTTTATCGGTTTCTTGGAAGAAGTTTTCTGTGACAACGACTTTAGTGCAATTTTGAACATTGGGTATGGAACATCTCGATTTGATCAATTTCGTACAAACTATGTATTCAGCATGTCCCTTACAGTCTTCGTACCATTTATTGTTAGCATAGAAATGTGTGGGTGGCAATATCATAATGTGATCTGAATTAGGGATAGGATAAATTCTATAGGTAAGGTATAGGTTAATGTCAAGGATAGGGATTTTTATTATTATGAGCATTGTTTGAGAAGTGACACAAACAAGGGCTTTAGATGCTTCTATAAGTTCATAAGGATGATTATCATCAATAAGAAGGGCATTTCTTGAATAAATTTGAAGAAGATTTTCTTTTAAACTTTCGAGTTCGTTTAATATAAATAATTCAATATTTGGGATATCTAAATGGGATAAAGTGATTGTTCTGATAAGTTTCATTAAGAATTCGTTAATATTTTGAAGGTTTATTATTTCATTATGTAGAGCAACATAGCCGTCAAAATCGGCAGATAACTTATTAACTGCGGATAGAAGTACAAAACTATTATTATTAATTTTGTTTATAAGTTTCTCGAATCTCGTATCAATTGACTGTCCAAATGAGATTTGATTGTTAAATTTTTTTATGATTTCATTTTCTTTAAGTTGAATAGCTGTAATGTGTGTTCTTAACATATCTAGATCTGAATTATCGGGATTACCCGCTACGTATTTAATAGCTGTACCAAGAAAATTAAAAAGTCCTTTTTTCTGTTTTCTAGTTATTTTGTGTAAATTATCTTTAGCTAGGTCATGTAAGTGATTATACTGGGAATACAATGAGGACAGAGGTCCATTTTTAATAGGGGTTTTAAAATAGTAAATAGGATCTCGTTCTAAGGTTTCTTCTAATTTTTGTAGATTTATGTGCAAGATATGTCTGTAATAATGTGAGGTTTCTCTGGATTTTCTAACTTCTTCGGCAAAATAACCATTATTCGGAATTTGTTGGATCTTGAGAAGATGTCCCAGGGATATGATCGTCCTGTAAAGAAGTTTTGTCTATAAGTTTTCGGGCTCTTTTTGCAAATTTTAGGTGAGTGCTTGTTTCGTTTTGTTTGTCAGTTTTACCGATTACTTTTGTCTTATTTTGTTTATCTGGACGTAATGTAGAATAGGGATTTTGTAATTTAGGTTTATGTTTTTTCTTAGTTACATAAAGGGTTTGTGCAAGATTTATTTCGGGTATCTCTTCGGCAGTCTCGTTTGCTTTGTCAAGTATGTTTTGTCTTTTTTCTTTTTGTTTTTCGTATAAGTGTTCTATAAAAGGTTGAAGTTCATCTTTGTGTCTTTGGTTATAGGTTTCATATACCGGAAGGTCAAAATCAAAGTGTATTTCTTCGGCATAAGGTCCGTAGAGAATAGAAAAAGGGGAATAATTAGTGGCACTATGGATTGATTGATTATAAATTAACACAGCGTGGGTGAAGATATCATCTAATGGATCGTTTGGATTTTGGTCTTTTAAAGTTCTAAGCTTTTCGATAAGGGTAGAATGCAATCGTTCTACAGGGGAGTTCGAAGATGAATTATTTACTGTAGTGAAATGTAGTTCAATTTTGTGAATGTTCATGAACTCTTTAATAACGGCGGAATTAAATTCTGTACCACTGTCGCATACTATTTTTTTGGGATAGTTGTGGTGTGAGAAGTAGTGTCTGAGTTTACTTAGGATTGACAAAGAAGTTTTGTCGGGTATTTTGTAACACTGTCCATACTTGGAGAATGAATCAATAACTGTCAAATAGAGATTTTTGTTGCAATGGAATAAATCTATGTGTATGATATCAAAAGGTTTTTGTCCAAGTAAAGGTCCTAACTGTGGAAGTTTGTAGGGACGTCTTTCGTATTTGTTTTTTAAACAAATTTCACATTGATTAATATAGCTAGAAATAGTAGTTTGCATATTAGGCCAGTAAAATTTATTTTTTAAATGTTTGTAGGTTTCTACGATACCGTTATGATTCTCGGTATGGTATTTCTTTACGCATTCGATTTGTCTTTCTTCTTCTTCAATGTCTTGCAGTATTTTATTGCAGAAAAAGGTTTTAACGGTTGAGTCTATATTTTCTCTAAAGTAGTTGCAAATGAAAGGTCTAAATTCGTGAGAAACTTTTTGGCAAATTTTTGATTGGGTCTTAAGATATTTTTAAAAGATTCTGGTATTTCTTTCTTCCAATCTTCTGTGACATTTACATTGTATCTATGTTTGTTAAATATTTTTCTATAAACTAAATCGAATTTTTCGGAGTGATCGTTAATTATAATTTGATTTGTCGACATATTAATTGGTTCTTCCGAAATTTGTATTCCAGTAATGGGATTTTCAACTGCAGTGTGTTGAGTATCATCATAATTTTGCAGTCGGTCATATTGTTCTAGAAATTCGTCTGGGTCGAACTGTTCATCAATACCTGAAGGTTCAGCACCGTTTGAACTGGTACTTAGAGCATTAATTTGTACTCTAGAAAGGGCGTCAGCAACTTGATTTTCCTTTCCTTTCTTATATTTTACATCAAAATTATATTCATCAAGTTTTAGTCTCCAACGTGCTAGTCTAGACGTAGGATCTTTAATTTTATAGATCCAGACAAGGGGATTATGGTCCGTTTCGACCAAGAACCTTTGGCCATATAAATAAGGACGAAAATGTTTGCAAGAATCTATGATGGCTAAGAGTTCCTTTTCAATTGTGGAGTAAGCTTATTCAGCTGAATTTAGAGTTCGCGAATAATATGCGATTGGATGATTGTTCTGAGAAAGCACAGAACCAATAGCTACATTGGAAGCATCAGTAGTGAGAACAAAAGGTTTTGAAAAATCTGGATATTGGAGTACAGGGGCATTGGTTATTAATTGTTTGCATTTTTCAAATGATTCTAGATAATTAGGATTTTTAGGATCGACTACGGCTCCTTTGCGAGTACATCTGGAAAGAGGGAATGTAATTTTAGCAAAATTGGGTATAAATCGACGATAATATCCTATAAGACCTAAGAAGGATTTGATTTCTTTCACTGATTTTGCAATGGAAATTTTTGGATAGCTTCTATTTTGCTAGGATTTGGTTTAGTACCATCAGCGGTTACTAAGTGACCAAGAAAAGCAACTTCTTTTGTAAGGAATTCTGATTTATCCAATTGTACTTTCAGATTATTTTTTCGGAATGTATCGAATATTGTAGCAATATGAACAAGATGTTCATGTAAAGACTTGGAAAATATAATAACATCGTCCATATATACGAAACAAAACTTATGAAGAAAGGGTCTAAGAACATCGTCTATCAATTTTTCGAAAGTGCTTGGGGCATTTTTTAAACCAAACGGCATCCTCGTAAATTCAAAATGACCATGAGGAACTGTGAAGGCAGTTTTCTCGATGGAATTGGGATGTACCTCGATTTGGTGAAAACCTTGGGCAAGATCGAGAACTGTGAAATATGTGGCTTTACCGAGATTGTCTAATATTTCGTCAATTTTGGGCAAAGGGTATTTATCATCTATCGTATTTTCGTTCAGTTTACGATAATCAATTACCATCCTGAATTTTTGCTCTCCGGATGCATCGGCTTTTTTTGGTACGATCCAGACAGGAGCAGAAAACGGCGATATGGAAGGTCTAATAATATCGTTATCTAATAATGTATTTACTTGCTTTGTAATTTCTTCTTGCATCTTTTTTGGATGCCTAAATCCTCTTACATAAATAGGATTTTCATCTCGCGTTCTAATTTGATGTTTAATGCCAGAAGTAAAAGTTAACTTATTTTTATCATCATAAAAAATATCTTTGTATCTTTTGCATAATTTTAAAATTTTATCTTTTTCTTCTAAATTTAAATGACTAGTTCTAATAACAGAAGGATTAAAGTTTGTTGGGTCATTTGAAACTTCATAATTATTTAATTTTTCTACATGGACGGGTTCA